ATAGGTTGAGCACGACAGAAGCTCTAGTAAAATTGTACTTTCTAGTAAGACTGTTACGGAGTACGAGTTTAGGAGAAAATGACAATTTTCGTTTGTTACTCGAAAATTGTTTTTTAGAGTCCCTACTACTCCAATCCTCCCTAATTGAGTTAGGGTTGATTTTTTATTTATTTTTATTTTTTTTATTTTTATTTAAGGAAAGATATAAAAGTTATGTAAAGGCTTGTTTCGATTTATTGAAAATAAATGAGCTGAACTGATTGGGGCTGAACTGAACTGAGCTGAAATTAATTGTTTATGAGAGAAGGAAATTAGGAACTGGACTGAACTGAACTGAAATTATGCTGAACAGAAACCCTAAGTCTTCTTTTAAAATTGTACCCTAATTTATATAAAGAAATTAATTAAGTAAGAAAATTTATTATCTATGTCGGATCATTGTTTAGATAATTTTCAATTTGATGGCCTAAAAGTTGCAACATAATCTGTTGCTTAATTGACTTCCAGATACACTATACATATGGTGGAGAAAAACAACCTCAAAATAAGCCAATAACTTCTTAACTCCATTTATTAGCAATTGAATTTTCCGTTGCGGGAGAAGAGAGATTTTTTTGAAAGAAAAATCTGTAAAAAGTAATTTACATTAAAATTAACTTTGAAAAAATTATCTATTTCAAATCATACTCGTATTAGGATCACCGTGATTTAGGTCTAACACCACATAATGGAAAAAATAAAGCGTGCACATATTGTGTTAGCTGAAATTAAAATATGACCAATCCCATTGGATAGTACATTGTGCCTAAAAAAAATTAAAACCAATATAGCATGCAAGTGATGCAACCCATCAAAAGAAATTTATGGTTGTGTTTCAAGTCTACACTTATTTCATTCTAGGTTATACCTTGACATATTTGAATTACTAGTTACGCCGAATTCTCTGATTGATATACATATTTTTTTTGTACTCATCAGAATCTGAGGCTTAATTTAGGATGCTACTATTTATTATGCTGAATTCTCTTACTTTTGCCCCACAAAAATTAAAATGTTTAGTTGCAAACTTGCAACTCAAACATCTATAATGTCACAAATTGATACAGAGAACATTGCTAGATATAATTAATCACATTCTATCATTAACCAAGTAAATAATACGTTGTCGATTTTTTTTCCAGCAACACATACTTTTCAAGTATCATTCCGAGTTGTGCACCTAGGTGTACAATAAACGCTTGGAAGCATATGCTTCATATATTAGTAGAGATGAAACAAAATAGACAAAAACTTTTGGGTTCATCAATCATGATGGAAGAATAGAAGATATTGACAAGATCACCACTAATGTACCATACTAGCGTAAAACCTTGTATAAGTAAACCCACAAAGAAACTTTCAAATTACCAAACCACCAATGAAAAAACTTGTAGAATAATTTTCCACGAAAAATGCAAGAAGGAATTAAATTATACGAAGTATAAAAATACCCTTGACTCACACCATAATATCTACATGACATAAGCATAAGAAACAACACAACTAATACCTTGCTCATCACATGAACTTGTTCATACCCAAAAACCAATTTTAATCATTTCTCTTAACAAATCAACTTACCCCTAAAAAGAATATTACAAGTCACCATCAATTTTATAATACCAACTAGTAAACCCCAAAAATTAAATAATAATCCATTATCATATCATTAAAATGTTCAGGACTTGGTAATAAATGCACTTATAAAATAAATTTATTTTTAATATAAATAAAATAAAATCGGGTTTAATATCCTCAAAGCCACGAGGCCACGATGTTCTTCCCATGTAAACATAAAGCTTAACCGAATAAAATTCTCTCAATCAAACAACTTTACTCACTAATCAATTTCTCAAAGAATAGTAGCCCACATAACGTTGGACCACCAGTGATTCCCGTTCATGTTCCTATTCCGCCACAAAAAAAACCCAGTCTTTTTTCTGAGTAGCAGTTTCGAACTCGCCTCCTATAACTCGGCTGAACCCGCAGCCTTAAACGCGTGTTTTCCTCTTTTTTTTCTCTCTCCTCTCTTCGACACAAAACACAAAGAAACTCACCCGACCCACTGTCGGTCCAATATACCCAGATCCACATAACCTTTTTTTTTTTTTTTTTCCTTTCACCATTAATCTTCAGATCTTCTTCTTCTGTCTCTCTTCTTAAATTCTGTGTTCATTGAAAGAATTTTACCCTGATTAACTAACCAAAAAAATGGATGTTAGGAAGAGAAAACGGATACTTAAAACACCATTATCTTTAACACATAATTTCTCAACAAGGTATATAATGGTGTGTTTTTGTTGCTTCTTGTTTCTTGTTTTCATTACTCGGAGTTTTAATTTTGGATCCGGGACGTTTCGGCCTGCGCCGATCGTCCCAAAACTAGCCATAATTTCTTCATCTTCAATCAGTAGTAACTCGGTGCAGGATCTTTCTACCCAGAGAAAAGTTGAGATTGGTAGCAGTGAGAGTAAAAGTAATACTAGTAAGATTAAGATTATTAGTGACAGTAAGAATAGTAGTGAAGGTGATGGTTTGTTCATGGGGTTGAGCATTGAGAGCAGAGTATTGTTTAACGATCATGTGTTGGTAATTTTACCAGCCAGTCAGAGTAAATCCTTACATCTGCAACTGCCTGAGAAAATTGACTGTGTTTACCCCCGGAAATCGGGTGTTAGTGGTGGGAAGAAAACTGTGAACCATCCCATGTTGTCTGTGGATGATTATGGGGATGGAAGGTGGTTGGTTCGGTGCTCAGTACCGCCTGCGAATTACACGGCGGCTGTCGGGTTGAAGGGGGAATGGAAGAATGGGAAAGGTATTGAGTGGGAGATGGGGAGGGGGATAAGAAGAGTGTTCAATTATGGGATATGGTGGCTTACGAGGCGGCATTCGATGGGGAGGATATGGCTGTTGTTTTTGTTAAGGGTTTGCAGCTCAAGTCAGACAGAGAATCGGAACCAACTCCATTTAGATGTCAATTTTGGAAGGAGGGTGAGGATTATGCGCTTACCACACAGGCTACCACTGCAGCACAGGAGATAATCAGGTGCCCTTTGCCTCCGGAATTGAAGGTGAAACCGTGGAATGGCGAAGAAGTTCGAGTTACAGTCGAGGTGACTTCCAAAGTTCCTGGAAGGTCCCATTTGACAGGTACGAAACGACAACTAGTACCATCAATAGCAAAATTACATCAGAGCAGTAACAAGTATAATGTAAAGGGTAGGTCTAAACTTAAATATAAGCTCTGTGCTTGTACTATGGTTTGGAATCAAGCTGCATTTATTAGGGAATGGGTAATGTACCATACTTGGCTTGGGGTTGAAAGGTGGTTTGTTTATGATAATAATAGCGATGACGGCTTAAAGGATGTGATAGATGAGCTGAATGCCGAGAATTATGATGTGAATAGGCACACTTGGCCGTGGATTAAGTCTCAGGAGGCGGGGTTCTCACACTGTTTGTTGAGGGCCAGAGATCAGTGTCAATGGGTTGCATTCTTTGATGTGGATGAGTTTTACAACTTCCCACCTCCAAAACCCAGGCAAAACTCAACCATTGTTTATCGGGGACCGAGCGCTCTTCAAAAAGTAGTGGAGCATGTTTCAGCACGACAGCGAACAGTGGGTGAAATCAGAACAGACTGCCATAATTTTGGTCCCTCAGGGCTAAAGAAAACCCCAGCAGAGGGACTGATGTTAGGGTATACTTGCCGGCTTAAGGGACTTGAGAGGCATAAGTCAATTGTTAGGCCTGATGCTGTTGATGATAGTCTTCTGAATCAAGTTCATCATTTCAAGCTGAAAAAGGAGTTCAAGAAGCTAAATTTTCATCGGGCCGTGATAAACCACTACAAGTACCAAGTCTGGGACAACTTTAAAGCAAAATTCTATAGAAGGGTTTCAACCTATGTTGTTGACTGGCGAGAGAATCAGAATGAAAATTCAAGAGACAGGGCACCTGGATTGGGGACAGAAGCTATTGAACCGACCAATTGGCCCCAAAAGTTCTGTGAGGTTTGGGATACCAGGTTAAGGGACTGTGTTCTGTCTAACCTGGCTGATCGGAATACAGGGTTGCTCCCGTGGCAGAAGTCTGTTCAATGACCAAGGTCGAGATGCCTGCAGTTCATCTACATTTGTAAAACATAAAATTCTTTTTTCTCCCTTATTTATTGAACCTATTTCTTGTGCATGTTTTGTAGAGAACCATAGATTAGTTACAATTTTTACCTAGGCATATTAGGGAGGTATTAAATACCTCTCTTATTTTTTTTAAAAAATTATTTTTCTGTTTTTCTTCCTCATCTGCTGATGTATGTAATCTTCTGGAAGATTTACTGGATTAATTTGTAATACAGTGCAGAGCTTTTTGAATCCAAAGAATAATCACATACTTGGTAGTAATCTTCTGAACTAAGTCGACTTTACAAACAGTGCATTGTTTGAGCATTTTTTTACAAACTACTGCATGTCAGTTGCAGTCCTGAATTCAATGGCTCAAAACAGTGCTTTGTGAATTGTAATTTTGCTGCTGCAACAAGAAGTGTGCATGAAGAAAAAACTGCTTTCTGACACAGATATTAGACATGGGGAACTCACTTCCCCGAATTTTCCGGAGTAATTCCTATCTGATAATATATCTGGGGGCAAAATCAAGTTTAACACTAAATACTGAATAAATCATTGCAAACATCAAGAGAACTAAACAGAAAATAGATAATTAACACTTCTTGGAAAATGTATCCAGCGGCTGTGTATTCTGTTAATCTATTTTAAACTAATAGAGAAATCAACCAATGTGGAAGACAATATACACAAGATTGGGAAACTTGCAGTTAATGGTAATGTACAAAGAAAATTGAATGAACTATATACTTCTCCTATGATGTATTTTCTGAGACGGGATACTGATGTCCCCTGCGACATCTATGAGACATCGAGACCAGAATCTGCCAAAGAAAGTTATTTGATTACTGACTCATATTTGACATTAGAAAATAGTATAAAGTTGAGGTATTTTCATTTCTCGAAGATGCTAAAGTTACCATCATGGTCAATTACTCAATTAATAGACTTTTGCAGAAACTTTGAGCTTAGTAAGCAAAAATGACTTATGGCACTCAGTATAGATATTTAAACGTGTTGTTAAATAACTCAGATAAGGTATTTAAACTTAATCCACTGAAAAGGCAGACAGTAATCACTCCCCTGCTTGTCAAAAACCAATCAAGACTACATAAAAAACTCAACAATATCCTAAAATTCATCTTATAGAAATCAGGAGCTACATCACAATGACATTTTCCTTTCTGTTGTTTTTTCTTATTGCACATTAATAGTTGGCAAAAAAGAGAGAAAAAAAAAAAACAGAAGAAGAAGGTTCATGGCAGTGTCTGCTCAATATCTTCTCAATTTTTGGGGGCTATCTATGGCCTGTTTATTTGAGCAGTGGAAAAATAAAAATACCTTACCTATAGGCTTCAGTAACTAGCATCTGTACAAATTACTGCGTACCACAATTCATCGAGAATACACACTATCATTATCGACCTGTATCTGGAGTCATTAGTGCATCCCCAGTCACAGACTTCGTCAATGTAGCATCCAATTTGTCACCAATCAATGATATCCATGCCTATAACCAATAACAGAGATGTTGACTTAGGAAATTATAAGATAACTGAAATATTAGCTGGAAAGAATATTAAAAAAAAATATCAATAATCAATGTCAAATTATCAACAACTGCTAAAAGGGACAAATAAAACATTATTACTAAATAAACCCTTGAGCAAATTGTATACTTGTATGTGAGTTGGATGGTGACATGGAGTTGAGGAATCTTAATGATCAAAACAATATATAAGCTAAATGACATATCTTATCAATTAATATAGCCTTCAAAATTTGCAATAACTCAGAAAAGTGAAGAAACCAGAACATTCAAGTTAAGCTTTCAATCTGCAGAAGTCATTCCCATGAAATGCACATCAGGAGTGATCCTAAAATGTTTTCCTCATATACGATTCCATTTCAAAGGTATTCGAAAGAAAATTTGTCAGATGTCCAATAATTTAGCAGTTAAAAGGAATACTGCCAATACTTGACTCCACAACTTCTTGGGAGTACATTTATCCTTCTACCACTAGGTATGAAAACTAGAAGAAAAAGGTAGAAAAATAAAGAGTAAAAACAAAATACACCAATCCTCCTGAAATTCAAAAGTCATCTCCCCCCATCCTAAGTTCCTAACCCATACTTCATATCGCCCTCTCAAATTGATCATCCGCCTCATCACCCACCATGATGTTAATAGACCTCCCTATCAATTCCTCTTAGACACCAAAACCAACATACAAGCACCATAATGACACATACAAAGGCCAAAAAGTAAAAAAAAATAAAATCATACTCAATATCTAAAAGTATAGTTCCAGATTTCTACTGTTCATGATTGCTTTCTTGAAAACCTGCTCTCTCTTCGTTTTTTAATCTTGTTGTCTACTTCATAGTATTCAATCAAACTAGTGAACATTGTGGGGGAGGGAGGGTGAATAGAGGGGAGCTCATGTTGTAGGAGTTAAAATTACAAATTGCTAACTCAAGTACTCCTCCATTTTTATTTTTTTAAGTGTTACACTTACCAAATGTGGCCATTTTCTTTTAAGTGTTACACTTCCTTTAGTGGTGAAAAACTACATTTACAATTTTTTTAATACTCCAACTACCCCACTTACCTCTTATTATATTTAAGTCAATTAAATAGCCTAAAAATATATGCCGGTCAAAGTGTAACACTTTAAAAAAAAAGAAGTAAATTTAAAAGGATTATATAGAGGAGAAACAAATATGGTACAGCCCAGAAAAACAATAAATTTTCTTTTATTGAATTTGGAGTATAACTTTTCTTAAGTTATTTTCCCATATCCTTGTATTTTTGGAGTATAAATTCTCTTTTATAAAATTATTGATTGATTGATTGATTTTCCCATATCCTTGTATTTTCCTCTACATTTTTGCTCTCTAATTCAATGACTAATATATTGAAGATAAATTTGCTATACATTACTGTATGCTTCACATCTTGATAAAATAACTATCCTATTATATTACCTCTCAACTTGATCACCCGTCCAATCACTATTTGAGTAACCAAATAATTTTATAAATCTATACGAAAAAAAAAATAAAAAAATCCAATATCTAAAAACTGTTCAGTAGACTCTTTGAGGTGCATTATTCTTTAGATGTCCATATATCAATTGACTAGCCTAACTCCATAAACAATATCAAGGTGCCTGTGATGTGGCTAAGTATCTCAAACTTTCAACTGGCTCTTGTATAAAGTTGTCTTGATCAATTTCCTTTTCTCCTACTTTTGTCAACGTTATTTCTATTACAATGGAATGCTTATAAGTTTGCACAAGTCCATTTTAAACTTCTCATGAATCTCTTTGCATACTTCTGGGAAATAAAAATTTCATTTCTGATTGGCTCACTTCTGTGTCAAAAAAGAAATTCATTAGACCACTACCTGTCATTTCGAATTCCTTGCACAATGGTGCCTTGAAATCATCAAATATAGTATGACTATTGCCAATGGACAATATATCATCAACGTATAGGCTAACTATAAGCAGTGGCGGATCTTGAGCCAAAAAGTTAGAGGGGCCAAGTTTGATGTGCAATTATTAGACATCATATCACTTATAATCAATAACTCAAAAATACTTAGGGGGGTCGGGCCCTTGCCCGCCCTAACTAAGATCCGCCCCTGACTATAAGAACATATCACCATTTTTGTTCACATAGACTCGATGTTCATATGGACACTTAGTAAGTTAGTAAACCATTGCGTATCAAATATTAATCAATGCATGCATTCCATAAATGAGGATTTTGCTTTTAGCCATAAAAATGTCTATTTTAATAGGACATATAATCATGAATTGATAAAAATAACTTTATCCCCCTTAATTACAAAACCTTCTTATTGAAAGTTTAAATCTATGAATATTACAATTTGTGTTTTAAATAGACTAATGAATACCTCTATAATTAAAACTGTTGAAATAGTGTTAAAATGACAAAAGTTGGATAAGGAAAATATATTGACCAACTTTACACAAAAATCTAGTTGGATGTTTTTGTTGGGCTTGTCAGCAATATATGGAGATACCTAAAGAATCTCATTGGTGCAATGCAAAAAAGAATTATGAGGTATATTATGGATACTTTAGATTTTGGAATGTTTTGTTCTTATGGAGATGAGCAAAATTGATTGCTAACTCTGATAGTGATTGGGTCGATGATCAATATTAAAGGAAAAGTACAACACGATATTCACTTTATCTAGGTTTAACAGTTAATACTTGGATTTCTAAAAAAACTGCCAATGGTGGCATTATCAAGTTGTGAAGTAGTATATATAAGTATATAACAGCTTCCTTTGGAGTACGTGAGGCATTGTGGTTATAAAATATCATGCAAGAACTTAGGCTGTTTACAAGGACTTACCCAATATATGTTGACAACGTGTCAGCAATAAAACTTGCTAAAAGTCTGGTACAACATGGGAGAAGCAAACATGTTGACACACGGTTTCATTTTCTTGGAGACCAAAGAATAATCATTTAATTACATTTAGATATGGGTGACTAAATTCAAAGGGGATCTCAAGTGAAAAATAATACAATTCTTTCACAGATGTGTGTATCAGCCATAATCTTTATCAAGCTGTCTACGGACATCAATCCATCACTAAGAAACGAATTAGTTATTTGTGTCAAGCTGTCCACAACCACTAATCAGTAATGCTTCTGCCATTTGCAAGATTGTGGAGTTTGAAATGTACGTTGGCATGTATTCTTATTGAACAGTAAAACACATACAAGAACCTCAATATACGGTGAAAATGGAGAGCTTCTTATAAAATAGTAAAGCACACCTGGTCAGCAGTGGAAAACCCCCTTATTGTATCACCACCTATAATTGCAATTCCTTTGTCCCCCAGTGGCTGCAAAATGACAGCCTGTTCAGCAGAAACAGTTAGAAGGAATTTATTTGATAGGATTTAGAGTGCCAACTAATTTGCAATCACCCCACAACACAATGAACAAGCAAGCAATTAATAGAGAACAAACAATGAAGAAAATAAGCAAGAGAAATGAAGACAATGTTACCGTGGAAACACCCGAGAATTGGGAGAAAAAACCCACCTTACACTATGTAGTATTGATGATGAATGAAAATGAGATTACAAGCATGAATAATATGATATTCAAATGCTCCCACAAAACCTCGCTTAAACCCTCTCAAAGTGTTTAATATATTGTGAATACCTAAAATAAGAGGACTAAGGCAATATATATATATATATATATATATATATATATATATATATATATATATATATATATATATATATATATATATATATATTCTAGGGATTAAAGCCAATCCAACGGCTAAGATTACACCATATCACAAAAACGGACTAAACCGAGCTGCTGAAACAGGGATCCCGAGGTTCGGGCGAATCACTCAATCAGTTCGGACGAACCTTCTCTATTTCTTCACGATTTATATTACACCTTATGCCTCCATAGGATTGATCTTTCTCCTCCCAATCCTAACATTATTCTCTAAAGATAGTGTCTTGAATTTGCACTAACAAGCCAGGATTACAGCCCTTTGCATTAACGTACTATGTCTCCAAGGGAGTTGAAGTGCAACATGATAAATAAAATAAGACAATATTGTTATTATAAAAATAATCTATGATCCAAATGCAAAGGCACAAGACCCACAACAGATCCTCTCAAACATTAAGAAACACAAAGTCCACCAGTCGGCCATATGCAGTGCCAATCAGCAATTGAACCAATTCCTCCATAAAGAACTTAACATGACGAAGTATAAATTATGCCAACATTTTTGTTTAGCAACAGCCAACATGAGAACTTGAGAAGTCATTACTTTTGGAAAATTAACATTAAGACAAAAACAAAATATCTAGAAATAAGTTCACCAAGTTTTACAGGCACTATCTATATGTTATTTAATTAGTTAGTTCACAATATTTGAAAAAAAGGAGAAAAAAAAAAATTTAAAGAACTCCGTAATATGTAAGGGATGGAGGTTGTTAGGTAGCGTTCTCTTAACTTACCTTATATATTATCTTATATAAACGTATCCGTCTTTATCTTATCTTATCTTATATGAACTTATAAGCCCTTATCTTATGTATCAGAATTTGTTAGCTCTTATCTTATTTTATTTGAATTTATTAGCCCTTATATTATCTTAATCAAACATTTTCTCAAAGGGAGGAAGAAATATATATATGAGGTGAGCTGAAAGTCCAGTGGACCTGGAAAGATCAAAGTGGGATTTGGGGACTAAGACAATAGGCAATGAATTAGAGAATGTAAGGTAATCTTCTTAGGCGTCTACTCAAAGAGAATGTACTTGGAAATTAATTTTACAAACTGCTACATATGTACATAATAGTTCCACAGCTACGTACCCTGATAAAAATCCATTTAACATTGTCTACATCAAAGTCCACAACTTCCTATAGGTGTTGTAGCATGTTTCTATCAATTTGCTAACTAAATTTGCTTAAGTGGCATAACAAACATATATTTGTATAGTGGCGGATCTTAGTTGTGGTGGGGAGGGGCTTGGCCCCCCTAAGTTTTTTAGAATTGTTGGTTACAACTAATATGACGTCTAACAAATACATATAAAAAAATGTGGCATATAGGTTAAGTATTGCTATTTTTTAGCAAAAGGTTGGAGGATCAAACCTTGGCCCCCTTGAAGATCCGCCATTGTATTTGCATTGCCGGTATTTGACAAAAAACTTCACAATGTAATGCAAAATTGCAAACTATAAATAATATGAAATAGCTGCTAATGTACACTGTAGCCATGTAGGAAGCTCAAGTTTAGGGGAGGTCAAATCATCAAGAGAGCTCTTTGGTCGTGCTTCAAGACCTTTTCGTGGTGTAGAATACTTTGGCTCTAATGCTAATTTGTTAGAAAAGCCTATGAGCTATTTATTAACCCTATCTCCAATATTGATGACTCGACTCCTTATCAATGTACTTTCAGCCTTTTACTTAATCTCCTAGTGTAATGCCTTCAACGTCACACCGACTCTTGGATGACATTATTACTGTTCTTGATGATTACATTGTGAGGACACCTTGTCCTCACACTTTTCTTTCTATTGTTTCAATTTGAATTTTTTTTTTTAAAAAAAGAAAAACCTTGTTCCTGATGAATAGATTATAAGTATTGTCTTGTGTGTATAAGTATAACCACTATGTTGTGTTAAAAGCTATCGAGATAGTAAGGGACGCATCCCAGATTCACATAATGTTGTTTGGAACCATATACAACCATTATTCGGTCACATAAAGGCCTGTAGCGACCTTGAGTTAATGAAAGGAGCCAAGGAGGCACTTTCTTAAACGGCTAAATTGAAAGTTTAAAGGCAAAGTGGATGGTTCTAACCACTCAAATGACCTTCAAGAATCAAGGGTGGTGTAGAGTCCACGGGAAGCACCCATACTTCTTTCTTTCCGGGTCTAAAGAAGTAAAAAATTGTCCAAAACGGAAGGCTATACACAAAATCGGACCAATTTCAAAGGTTTTGGAACTCGGTGTCGAAAACTCTTGGGATTGTATGGATGCATTTTGAGGTCGTATAATTTTGTTTGGAACCATATATGACCACTAGGCACTAGTCGATCATATTAAATTGCGTGATAGCCTTGATTTAATGAAAGGAGTCATGTACGTAAACGGCTAAATTGACACTTAAAAGGCAAAGTGGTCATCCAATTGGCCTCCTAGGGTGACGTGGGATCCATGGGAAGCATATCGACCCCTTTCCTTTCCAAGATTAGAAAAGTAAAAAATTGTCCAAACTGAAGGCATATCCACTCTTTCGGTCCAATTCGGAAAAATTTTCCAAAGTTGAAGTGAATGCATGGGTGTCCCCCGGGGTCATATAAATTGGTTTGGAACCGTGTTGCATACAATTAGTAATAAAGTGATGGTTGTTTGGGAATGCACCAACTTGGCATCAAGGGTCTAATTGACGTGTTCTTGGGTTATTAATTTTACCCAAACTTATTACTTACCATACCGTCAATAAATGACATATGGCTTGTTTTGTTAGTGACACACTTTACTTAAACCACTTTTTTTTAACACATTTTTACTTTTTGGAAATATTCTACCATATCTAATCATATTTCTCTCTTCTTTGAACCCCACCACTACGTTTAAAATCATTTCTCTATCTTCATAGTCCCAAGACTCCCAACTTTTACAATCTTTATTATTCTCTAATATCACATCCTAATATTTAATTCTCCACCAAACCACCCAACCTATACAACCTATATACTTCTCATAAAACTCATAAGCTAATGTGTCACTTTAAAAAAACGGAGGGAGTAATATATTATTATACTATATATTGGTGTTGTGTTGTGTTTGTTTAAAAATACCACTCAATCATTGTTGATACTATATTGGTTGGGTGGTTGGTTGATTACAAGTGTTCTTTCATTCATAGTGGAATGAATAGGATGAAGCCTTTTTTGATGGAAAAGTATCCATAACAAATGAGAACTTCATTTCATCTCAACTCATAGTTTGTTGACAAGAGTAGTCATTATGGATGGACGGATGGATAATTAATCACCATACATTTTTTTTTCTTTTTTTCTTTTCTTTTTTACTTGTCATTAATCTTTTCCCTTTTCATGCAATTTGGTTGATGATAAGCAGAAAAGGTTGTCACTTTGGATAATTTTAGACTTACTTGATAACTACATTTATTGGTAACTCTCTAGAGGCTAGTTCTTTCAAGCCAGAAAGTGGATACTGCAGAAAATGATGAATCCAGGAGTAAAACATTATCTTTCATCTTTAAATGTAAGAAGTTTGGTGGAACTGTTCCTTATGAACAGTAGGCCAGTGCGCAGACGGTTATGTCCTTGGTCTGGGATGGTACTTACGGTCCTGCCATTGAACAGTGTCTCCATTTCCTTTCTACCTCGTCTTCGTCTGTCCTTGCTTTCCCGAATTCCCTTGCCATCACTCATCCATTTCCATTCTCTCTCTCTTCCTACTCTTTCTTTTTCCTTTTCTACTATTGTCCTTCCATATTTTCACTTTTCCATGAAAGCTTACTCCAAGATTTCCACTAAAACGTGCTCTGAGCTTCCTCTCCTCCATTGTAGTTGAGGTAAGACGATTAAGTGCTCTCTTTTCCTATTCTCTTTGTCTTTCCTCTTCTAGTTTAAGGAAAGTTTTCAGAAAAATTAATAACTTGTGAATTTGCTTACAGTATTTTTCAGCTTTTAGGATCAAGTAACCAATCACTGGATCATATTTAATCTCCATTTGTCTTTTGTTTCCTAACAGTTAATAAATTGAAGTTTCTAACTTATACTTGCTTGTTAGTTAATTTGGTACACTATTAATAATTGTAGATACAAAAATTACACGGAAAAATTTTGCTACACATAAATTAAACGTTCCAGCAAACCTATACAAGAAGGGCTCTTCCCTAACCATGATAACTAATAACATACACCTATTGATTGCATCCACATTATTCAAGTCCTAAGGTACATTATCATTAGACAATAAGATGGCGCATACCTGTGTATTTGATGGCAAAAATGGCAGTTCAGACTTGCCTGGATACAGAGAGAGATTTGCCAAGTAGCTCTCTGCAGACACAAGCAAGAACATTTTTGTCAAGGTAAGGGTACAATAATGGTTTTTTTCTTGATAAATATTCAAAACTAAAAGAAGCAACAGCATTATTGATCAAATTAAATATCATACGAGCTCCAGATTTCATGATGCCTCTGTAAAGTGTGCCCTGAATCAATTTTTTGGCGTCTACATTCTCTGCTTCACCACTAATCAATGATTCAGCTGCCACACCAATTTGACAGATACAGCTCTCCTCATAGATAATGACCAAGGATCTGCAGCATGTGACAGCTGAAAGAGATTGCCAAAACCTGCAAAAAAGGAGAGAATCATGACTGGACACCAAACCCAAGGCCACCTACATCATCAGAACTTTCATCCGCCATAATAGATTAATAGAGTAATATAGTTTATATACATCATCTTAGTCTTACTCAATATGTTAGCAGAGAGAAATGTGTGAAAATTCTTTTTAATAACATCTCTGTGGGATAGTAGATACTGTGAGAAGGTTATTTTTGTGGTGAGTACATTGGAAGGTTTGGAACAATTTATTTGATTACACAAGAAAACCAAAAGCAATCACAAAGAGAAGCAAACACGGAAAAGAGCACAAATTATGCATTAGATACAGCACCATTCCAATTCAGAAATAGCAGAATCAGGGAGGTTGGGAGATATCCAGCGACACTCCACACCTTCAGGATCCACCTGAAATGGAAGGAGATCGATGAACACATCGCCATACAAAATCCAGGTAGTAGAAATGAATCCTTGGGTCCACGAAAAAAACAGGGTATGCTAGGAATGATTAGGAATTTATATATGAAATGGAATTCTTAACCTTAGAGATAGCCTTGGGCCTAATTGACAACCAAACAAGACCAGTTAAGATATTCGTAACAGCCAATCCAAGAGCCAACAGATCTGCCCTTGACTGTGAGCTGCAAGACACAATTAAGTATATAACAAGGTTAAGAAAATAAATCAAACCATTCAAGTTACATTGCAAAATATATGGCTCTTTCTTTACATGAGACATCATAGATAACAAGCTTCTTGCACTCAGAATGGTGCCCCCTTCTTGACTCTACATACCTCTCTCATTAAAGGAGGTGATGTATTATGAAATGGCCAAGGAAGAAGGAAGGCTGGTTTCATGACAAAATTTTATGAGTTGTACAAAAGGAAAAGTAAAATTCAGATACACAGTCATGGCAGCGGGTAAAAATAAGGCTTCTTTCAAACTTTGATCAATTTGGATTCAAATGTCAAATATGCATTCAAAACGGAAAATCAAAATGCACGCAAACTATGCATCAATTTTACCGTATCAGGAAGAATAAATTGACAGTTAGCAAACATGGTTGATGGAAGTTTCTTATTCTTAAGAGCACTAGGTTGTCATTACCTCATGCCAATGTGCCATCCATCATCTGGTAATCCTTCCAAATAACTACTTACTTAATCAATGACCTAATTCACATGTATATTTACAAAAATTTCCCAAGACTAGCATTATAGTTTCACAGCATATAGTCTTCCTACAAAAACTCACATTCACGACTCTCCATAGTTAGATCAAACCATCAAATTTCTCGCTTTCGGTTCCAACTAGGACGCCTGGAAACGATTTTCCACCACATTCTAACCTAGCTACCACCATTTCATAACCTTAACCATTAAAATGCTTTTAATTATCAAATATAATACCAACATCTAACTTTAAAAAAAATCCTACCAATTCATCAATACAAATATCAGGTAAAGTAATCAAACAACAAAAAATCGACACAATCTCCACCATCTCCAGCAATTTCCAGGCTGCATTTACCCTAATTTATCTCATATGGAAATTGTAGCAGCAACAACAACAACAAAAATTTAACATCCAGCTAAAAATTGATCATCTCAATTCGAAAATTAAACCGAAAATCAACCAAAAAAACATCAAAATAATCAGGCAAAACAATTGAATTAAACAACAAATTCAAGAAATCCGCCAATTCTGAAAACTGACCTACTAGCGTCGGCAACAGGAGCAATGCCGGAAACAGTACGATTAAAGAGGACAGCGAGGAGAGAGAAACCACCGACATAAATAGGCAAGCTACGAGCGACATTGTCGTTGTTAGAGACCCAATCAGCGACCAAATTTCTGCTAGGTTTCGGACCTCTGAAGCCTTCCGACTAAACAATAAGCTCCATTGTTGTTAGCGTGAAGTAAAGCTTGAGGTCCAAAAATGGCGGAAAGAGAGAGAAAGAGAGGAGAGAGAAAGGGAGTACCTGGAGAGAGCTGGAAATGGAGAAGCGCGGGAAAGACCGGGAAGATGAACGGTGGTATCGGAAAGGTCGTATAGGTGTGCAATAAATGGAATGGATATGGAGGTGGAGAGTTCCCGCTTCCATTGTTAAAATTTGTTAAAGTTGCTACGGAGTAAATTGCTAGTGTTCTGTTTCTTCAGGTTCTGCCAACAAAAATACTACCGAGTACTAATATTCCTTCCAATTTACGAGTAACCGGCGGAGTACAAGTCTACAATTAGTATTTGGGTCAAGGTATTGTCTCGATTCATTAAATAATGTGTATATGAAGTTTATAATGTTCTTTTGTTTGTTTTTTTTTTTTTTTTTTTTTAAAAATAATATAAAGGACCCTGCTGAATCAGCATCTCTCATAAATTATGTCAGCTCAGCTTCACAGACCAACGCTTAAGAGTAGAGGAGGCTATAAGAAAATTCCCCTATTCCCAAGTAAATGTAGTTGGTTGGGCTTAAACTTGTAATTACAAATGCGGAGTATATAATGTATTTGTGATACTGAGTACAATCTTCTACTCCGTATACCGTATAAATTTATATTTGATAGTCATTTATTATACATTTTGTTATGAAATTAAAGAGAAAGAGGAGAAAGTAGAGGAGAGAATACACACACACACATATATATATATATATATATCAGGATTTCCTTGTAGACTAAATACATATGTTACATAACACTCCTTCTTGGATGATCATTATCGAATAGTGTGTTACATATGTTACATAACACTCCTTCTCGTTAAACCTTACTAGGAAAAACCCGATGGGATAAAAACCTAGTGAAGGAAAAAGAGTACAACACTTTCGTAATACGCCTTAACATGCTGCTTCGTTAAAAACCTTACCAGGAAAACCCAATGTGGGACAAAACCCTGATTAAGGGAAAAAGAGTGCAGCGCGTATTTCCTCCCCCTGATGAATGCATAACTTGAGATCTTCCAATATAATGATCCAATGCCTTAGTAACTTCACACTTGTAGCTAGGGATGACAACGGGTCGGATTTGGATCGGATGGACCTTCACCCGCATCCATCCGCACCCGCCATCCGCTCCATCCGCTCCACCCACCACCCGCTTACCCCATCATCCATATCCGATCCACCCATCATCCGCGGGTGAAACGGGTGGATCGGATGCTAAACGGATGAAAGCTATTAAACTTGCAATGAAATTATAATTTACCGAAATCATAATTTATTGTCGGAAAATAAAAGCACTACAACCTTTAATAAATGTATAATATTACAGTAGTACACCAACTAGGTGTCAAATTACTCAAATATGTCAATAACATAAAAATGAACTAATGACTAGAACACAATTACATTAGCAAATTAGCAATGAACTTGCAATGAGCCAAAGAGGTGAGATTTGTCATCAAGTCCCTTTTTTTTCTTCAAATATCCATGAAATCGTCATCATCCTACAAGAGTACAAAAAATGTAATTAAGACCATATAATGAATATTAACACAGAATTTTTTTTAATAAGTTTTGATTATTACCGAATCCAAGTCAACGACCTCGCTACCACTAAGTCCACCACCGCCACTGCTCATATCTAAAGAATCTTCATCTTCTAAAATGGTAGCACAAGCTTGAGCATTTTTCAAAGCAAGACCTTCATCATAAGTTCATAATCGAAAATATACAATTTAGTACATACTACTTTAATGGGAGTAAAATATTATTAATAATAAAAAATAAAAAAAACAATTAAACATCTTGTTACCTGAATACTCTCCTTGAATCCAATTTTGCAAGCATATCAAAGCCTCTACGGTGTTTGCATGAAGTCTTGAACGATGAGGACTGATTACTCTACCACCCATACTAAATGCGCTCTCAGATGCAACGGTAGATGCAGGTATGGCTAGAATGTCTTTGGCAATTTTTTGTAATGTCGGATATTTGAGTTCAATATGCCAAAATTTCAAAATATCAAAACCCTCACTCTCCGGATAAGCATCCTCCTCTAAATAATGGTCTAACTCAGACCTCACATTTACTTTCCTTGTTTTGGTTTTCTTAGCCTTACTCCACTTATCTCCACCATCATCATCATTAGAGTTAATTGAAGAAATGGGCCGTTTTCCATTCACATTATTTAGATTAGAAGTTGCCATACTCCTAGCTTCCTTCTCTTGATACTCATACAACAAGTCATACAACAAGTTTTTTACCCTATCAATTTCATCTCCAGCCTTATCATAATATATGTCATTGAAATAAAACTCTACACACTCTAATTTGTTCCTAGGGTCTAAAATGGCAGCAATGGCCTATATCCCATTAATGTTAGACCAATACTTTTCAAATTTATCATTCATATTTTTAGTCATATCCCTGATAAGTTGACTATCACTTAACAACCAAGACCTCAATGCAAGTTTAATTTCACAAACTTGGCGAAAGAACAAATTAGAAGTAGGATATTTTCGGCCAGAAAAAATTTCAGTCATTTTGTGAAACATTTTTAACTTTTCCCAAACCTTTTCAGCAAATTCCCAATCCATTTCAGTAGGAAGTATAAACTTTAAACGAGGATTTTGACGCTTGATATTACTAAACACATCCTTATAAGGTAAAGCACTAGTAAGCATTAAAAAAGTTGAGTTCCATCTTGTTTTGCAATCTAAAACCAACTTTCTACCCTCTTCTCCTTTAAAAGATTTCACCTTATCCTCAAACATTTCAACTCGTTTTGGAGTTGCTGCCCAAAAGGAAACACAATCACGTATCCTCTTAATTCCATCACCAATTACATCTAGACCATCTTGTACAATTAGATTTAATATATGTGCACTACACCTTGTTTCGGGGTTTTCTGATGTCCTGCGGGAGAGTTACAATTCCGAGACTGGAACCGGACGCCTGTACCTGCAAAACAAACGGATGCTCCGGATGATTGGAGATCCGCCTCCGACGGTCAAGTTAGTACTTGATTAAGGAGTAATTAATGCGGAAATAAAAGTGATTGGGTCTCTCTAGGTGAGAGTGTTAAATGTGCGTAATCCCCCTTAATGAGGATTAAGGGAGGTATTTATAACCTTGGGAAACGTGCCAATCCTAGGTTTAGGTTAACCTAGGGCTGATTGGGCTTCCCTTGGAAGTTGGGCCTAGGTGGCCGGTTTCTCCATTAGGCATGGAGGATGCCACGTGTAATGACATAATAGGTCCAGGGTGGACAAATAGGCGTGTGCCACGTGGCAAACCCTGACAGTTCCAATTGGGGTACACTTGGCAGGACCTGATTGGCCCACGTGGCGCATTCCGATTGGTGGGAGCAAAATCCCCTAATCATTTGCCCCTCACAGGTGGCACGTGACTGGTCACGTGTTACCTGTGACAGGTGTCGCACTGTGACAGGCGACGACCTGCTACAGGTGTCACTCGGCGAAAGGCCGAGAGATTCTCCCGCCCAAATTTTGAATTTTGGAAGTGGCCCTTCGACTTCTCACTTCGCCTATATAAAGGGGTGTTGACTTCAGTCATTTTCACATTTGAGAACTTTTTAGAGAGAACATTCAGACCCCTGAACTTGCTCTGACATTTCGGACCCTTTCTGCCTACCGCCTCCTCTGACAAGCCGACTGCACAGGATTTTCAGAACTCCATCAACTTCACTCGTTCAGGTAATCGTCGGTTCTCTTACTCCTAATTTTCTCTTTATTTTATTCTTTTTTGAAATGGCACCACGGAAGCACACGACACGACCTAGGTTAGTGATCAGCCGGTCACCGGGGACGGCTGAATCTAGGACTAGGAGTGCCGCCTGCCCTTTTCCGAACCCATCTTTGCCCTTTATACAAAGTCCGACTGTCTCTGTGTCTATGCAGAACATGATGGCCAGAACAAAAAGAACTGATAGGATTTCGAACTCAGACGACTCCTCCCACAGGGTGCCGATTAGTGAAACATCTGACCAGGCGCCAGATGTGGAAGTGAACCAAAGCGGCTTGAAAGCCGATAGTTCTGAGGGAGGAATCAAAGTGACCCCTTCCAATTTTACAGTTGACAAGTCTACATTCTCTCCTGCTCCTTTTGAAGGAGAGGAGGCGGGCCCCTCTGGGAGAGGGGAGGAGTCGTCCTCTTCGGACTCGTCAGAGGACGAATCCGAGTCTAGCTCTTCTGGTCATGCTTCTTTGGACACAGAAGAGAAAAACAGTCGCCTACAAGAGGCGAGGCTTTCTCACGCAGTTGAGAAGAGGGACAATTGGGCGGAGCCATCCGCCTCTTACCGAGAGCAAAATACCCCCTACTACTGCACTGTCCCACGGGGCCGGATCACGGCCATGCAAGAGAAAGTGGGGAGCTTTATTGCGAACCACACAATGGGCCCCGACTTTTTAGTTTTCGTGCCGGATCCAGAAGACACAGTCGTCTGGCCGGCTGGTACTAGTTATGATGGCGCCTGCTTTGGTTGCTACGAGGCGGCCATCAAGGCTGGGCTGCGCTTCCCACTACATCCGGCTGTTCAGCGGATCTTGGATGGGTATGAGTTGGGGTTATGGCAGTTAGCCCCGAACTCCTGGGTCAACGTACTCGGCTATGTGGCCGGGTGCGAACTGCACGGGGTGGAGCCAAACTTCGAGGCTTTCGCCCACATGAACTACCTCAGCCAGACCCCTAAGGCAGGCGGTACCGGCTGGTATAAATTGACAGGCCACAGAGGCTACCTCATGACAAGAGGTAAAGCAAACAAGTGGAAGGACTGGCGAAGCACCTTCCTTATCATTGAGAGTTCAGACACAGAGCTGAATAAGCGCTTCAACAGGTGGAACAGGAATCCGCCTCTTCTTGCAGGCGGCCGCAGCATGCCGCCTGTTCCCCCCAAAGCTAAGAAAGAGATCCTAGATAAAGGACTCTTTAAAGTAGAGTCGAGGGTCGACTCTACTTCAGGGGTACGAAAGCAAGTACCCTTGCACTGCGTCCCGAGCTTCAAATGGCTCTACGACGAGTACTTTTTGGCCGCCTGTGGCCTCAGCAGTCGGTGCTCAAGAGGTAGCCGGTCTGTCGAATACTCTGTTTTTCCATGCATTACTGTTATGACTTTTTATTAACTTTGCTATTTGTTCTTGCAGCGGACGCCATGAGCAAAATTACCGCCTCCAAGACTGCGGCGGCCATGTTGCGAGCCTCCATCATGTAACAATCCTCAACCGACTCCCCCAACAAGGGGGCGCCCTTGGTGAGCTTCTAACCTTTCACTCTCTTTTTGGAGTTGGGTTTATGCATATACTGACCGAGTGTTTTTTTTTTTTTTAGACGGGCGCTCCAAGAGCTTCTTCTTCCCAACAGCCAGACTCCAAGACCCGGAGGACGACTGTTGCGAGCTCTCCTGGTTCTGCCAGGAAACATGCGGCAGCTGAGAAACAGCCGACCACTCCTTCTAAAACTCCAATCGGGCCGCCTAGAAGTATGAAGCTGTCTTTGTGAATTTAGACTTG